AGTTTATGGACGAATGGAAGATGAATAAAAAACGTGAAATGCTAGGAATCTCAAAGACTCAAGGCAGTCTCCTTTATACTTTTCAAATGATATAGTTATTTAATGTGTGATTTTTAAACTAAACAGAATTATTTCTAAAAAAATAAAAGTCTAGTTTATTTGATACTCCAGCAATTGTGTAGCAGAGCCAAATGGGAAAATCCTCAGAAATCTTACATTTTCATATTTCTTCTTTCATCAGCGGAATGTGTTGATTCCTTGAGTGATCTTAGTATGTTTTCTGCGTGTGATATACACTGGTAAATGAAAATGTTATTTGTTAACTGCTAACCTAGAGAACAGAATATGGTAAATGGTTATCGCCTTAACATTTAAATAACAACAAAATATCTATGCATCAGACCATTTTACTCCAAAATAAAGCTAAATGCAAATATTAGTTACAAGTAAATGCAATTTTAAACACCATGCTCATATATATATACAAACATTCTTTCATTCTGACCTATCATACAGAATATGACTGTAATTTTCGAAAAGTGTAATCTACAGTCTCTTTCATTTATGCACAAAAAGATGTTTGAATATGAAATACAGAAATACTGGAAAGTTTAATATGTTTCCAACAATTAAATTGTAAGTGACAGATAGAACTAACAACAGATAGTTAGGATCATTATCTCAAAAGGTTCGGCGTGCTTTTTAGGAAAAGCTTCAAGCAAATTGTACTTGCTACTAACGAGATATTTTAATAACTAGGTATTGTTGTGAACCTCTTATGATAAATACCAATGGATCAAGTCTTGAAACAATTTATAAAATTTTGGAAACCCAGACATTAACGTTCATTACTGGAGCACTCTCAACATTATTTTATGCTATGGCATTATTGACAAACAACAAACCAGTTATAGAAAAGTATACCTAAAATAATCACGACGGTAAAAGAAATATTACTATTAGTAAATCTTATTAAATTGGTGACCTCTTTTGGATTCGTAATGAAATTTGAATTACAAGTTTGATGATTCAAAATCATTTCATCTAAATTGTTCAAACACTGAATCACATCATTAATTATCAGACAAAATATAGGAAATTAAAAACCTTTACGTTTTTTGGATATATTTCAAATAGAGGTAAACTTGTATGTTGTACATAAAGTGTTTAAGGAACGACTGCTCCACATGGCTTCTAGGTATTGCGCCTGGGAGATTTCTTGATAATGAATTCACGGAATGTGATTGCACATATAATCAGATTACATCTGCTGGTGGGTCTTAATATAACATCCGGCCCACCAGCGGCCGAGCGGTAAAGTCGCTGAACACTGGTAGTTCGGTTCGAGGTTCGCACATGTTGGTTTTCATGGTTTTCTCCATGTGCAACGTGTGTACGAGCCAGTTTGCCTTAGAAAATCTTCCACGAAGGCATTCCTTCCCTTAGGCAGATAGTCCTCGATAATTAAATAACCTAACCTAATAACCTTAATATAACATTAGCATGGAAGTGGGTTCGATAATTATTTTTGGCACCTTTATTTTTCTTTTTATTCTCCTGCAATGAAATATAAGAATTATTTTAATAAAGGCGAGGAAGCTGTTCAACTTACATGGTAACAATAATAAGCTAAACATTTGAAACACTTTCTTCATCTATTCATAACGACAGTACAAGCCTTGAGTTCAATATAGCCTCACATATTAGCTAAAGCTCTCTAAAATAATGAATGTCTTCCACTAATAGCCAGTTTTATCAGGCACTGTATATCTCCTGTGCCCCGCAATGTATGTGGAAACAAACAATTTGAATTTCTTGCATAAAGACGTGGAAATTTCTACAACTAACAAGATATCTTATCAATTAATTTAATTTTATCTCAAAATGGTTTCAATTCGAGTAATCAAACATGGTTTGCAAGAGAGAAACAAAATAAATTAATCGCGTCTTCTGCCTCGAACCGCTAGTCTAGGACGCGTAATTATGGTCCAATTTGGGCCGTTTTTAACTTTTGACAGGTACTGACTGATTGGGAAAACACGTTTTTTAGCTTTGGTATTTATGGATAGCCATAATATACTGTTTTTGATAAAATCATACCTATTATATTCGAGAGGTCCGTGGTTCGATTCCCGGCGAAAGCGTTACTCATTTTTCACTTCTCCTGTACCCCAAAAAATACCAATACCTAATGTCTCTACAAGTGTACCATTCGATATAAAATAAAATATAAAAAGCATTCTGCACTGTCCACTTGATATTTTCGTGTATAATATAAATATGAAGCAGTTCATTTCGTGTATAATATAAATATGAAGTTCGTGTATAATATAAATATGAAGTAAAGTGATTTCGAAGATAAATAGAAAACTTACTTAACTTTTCCTAATTAGTTGCCCTCTTTTTTAAATTTTAATTGTAATTACTTGATTGCGACTTGATTTAAAACAAACTTTTGCAACCAAGTAAATTAACTGAAATATTTTAGTCAACTTTCTGAAACCTCATTTTGTGTTTACTGTCTTAAATAAAATTCGATATTCTGGATTTTGCGGGAATCATTCATTTAACTTTACATATAAAAAGTAGTATTAATGTGCAAGAATTATGTATCCGCTATAAATTCCTTATTGGATATACTTGACATTGTCCGAATTTTATATAATAATACATTTTTAATCAGCTACAATGAAATCTAGGTGAAACAAGATGTAACAGATATTTAATCTTATTTTAAAGCACAGAATGATTTTTTAATAAACTGAGGAGATTGGAATTCAAACATTTACCAAGGTATAACTGGGATAAATGCAAATTAGGAGAATTCAGCTTAATTTACAATTTTAACAATAAAAGAAACATATAAAATATCTGAAAGCTTTCAGATTTTACATTACGCCCAAAGGGAATTTTTTTAACCTTTTGTATATTACTTTTATTTATTAAATGTTCTTTACACTTAAGCAGCAAAATTCAGTTCAACAACAATATCGGAAAATAATTTTAAAATGACCATAGCTTTAAAATTTCCGATACACAGACTCCCGCGCTGGAGATAAAAATGTTTTATTTATGTGTTGCCATTGCTCGTTTTAAAATCGTTGAGTTTGCTAATTAAAAATTCGTTAAAGTGTTACAAAATCGATATTAAAACAAATTCAAAATCCCAAATTAGGACTTCCAGATGCCCATATTCTGTAGAAGAAAACGTTATTAAAAATTTGATGACTCAAGTAACCGTTGTTTTATCACAATGCGTGAAACATACATACATTTGTGCAGATCTTTCATTATTTATTGTCTTTAAATATAACACCGGGCGATCACATTTGGTGAAAACAATTTGAAAAGTGAATCGACATTTAAAATTTTCAACACAAAATGCCAAAAGGAAATTAATAGCCTTTATGGGATAATGCCGTTTGTGATAATAAAGGAAAGAAAATAACATACAACATCTATATATGAGCCTCTAATAAGAAAAAAGGCCATAGGCTAGAAAAAATGTTCGCTTATTTTGGGGTCCAATAAGAAGAAAACCTTTTAATTAAAGCTTATTTTTTCTAACAAACTACATTCTCTAGAAATGATACAATATAATCAAAGTAAGGTCCTACGCTTTTATTTCTATTGGTTATTGAAATTATGTTCATTAAAGAGCCTTCAAAAAAAAAGGATAAAATTCTGCCTTTTTACCTGATCGAGATGTGAGGTGAGGTTAATTGAAACTGGAGAGATGTCTTAGTGAAAGGTTTGCTAAGAAAATTGAACCATTATAATGATTTAAACCTCTGGGGTCCAGGGTTTTCATTAAGAAAGCACAAATTTTTCAAAACTACTATTTTTTTTTTTTTTTTTTTTTAATTTTAATGCAAAAACTCTCCTGGTATTTCATACCTGGATTTTTTGTTGATATATTGCCTTAATTTCGCTGACATATTTTAATACGCACGTATATATACGTTCTTACAGATATCACAATAAATATTCTAGGCCGTATATATACGGCCTTGCCGCTTAGAGGGTTTAAGCAATAAAAATACCAAACAGTCCGTCCGCGTGTCGGATTTGGACGCAGTTCAGACGTGCATTTTCAGCAGCCTTCTGCAATCACGTCTTGGTAGGCCAATATGAAAAAAAAAAGTGAAAGAAGATTAAGAAAATTTCTAAACTAAATAGAGAAAGAAGTCAGTCTCCTTATTATTGCATGTGTTGATTCAGAACTCTGCATGAAGAATAATTTGTTTCTCTGTAGTCAGGTATAATAATTCATTATATATTGCAATACGAACGATATAATTCAGGTAGAATATTCAGCATGGAATCAGAAGAAGTGTCATGACAACAGCACCACTGAGGATGCTTTTAATGTGTACGTAATATGTTATAAATTTTATTCATTTGTTCTCTTCTAAAACCATTAGCCTTTCAGCTCCTTACTGCTGAGAAATAGAGGTTCTTCAACTTTACAAAATTCATGTTGTATTTAAGAAAAGCAATGTCTGCATCTTAGTGAACTAGGTTTGATTTGTTGCTTATGCACCTATTATCCATGTAAGTAATAAAGAAAATTTTGATTCGGTTTGCTTTCTCGTTGATTTATTTTATTCTGATTTTATCCACTGCAAATTGCCAAAAATGTAATTAAAATTGCTTTTTTAATTTGTCAGAGTTACAATTACAATAATTTCTACTATTCAGAGTATGGGAACTACAAACAAGATAACAGTCTGACTAAAATTACTACATAGTAATCTAATACATAATATCCATATAAATAGTTTCTTTGTCTTGCCTGTTTATGTAACAATGTCAAATCCTACACTCATTTAGAACTTAAAAAACAATGTAACAGACGAGTATATTTGTACTCATGAGCTGATGCTGTCCGTTCTTTATTTATATCCGAATGTTATAATTTCAGATTTCTTGTGTAATATTTTAGATATTTAATTCCCTTATACATGAATTGAATTTATTATAAATGCAATTTTCCTCAGGTTTATCAGCTGCACAAGAGAATCCTCTAAAATGCTCAGGATTAGAGTTCGTAACTTGCGCTTTTCTCGTGGATCAGGATAAAGTTGGAGGAACTGGTATGGAAGAAAATGAAGAACTCCTGGATAGAAAATGCGAGTACGAAATTTTCTGCTTTTCCTTACCAATTCAAATATTTAAATATTAAACATAGTATATGAGAACAAATGACCAAACGAAATCACATATAACACGACATGATAAATAATTACTAAGTAATACTACAAAGAAAATTTTGACTTTTCAAAATGTCTTTTTTCCACACTAAATCTTGCGACTATCAACCACAGATTAAAAATATAGATAAATTCGATTATCATTACAAATGTTTCTCCGTATTTAATGTTTTGTAATAATTTCCCAGTTAGAAATTGCATTCTTCTTTATGGTCACGGAAGAATGAAAATATCTTAAATTTTCAGATTAGGTTTGTATTTCTGCTCATAACACGTCCTGTCGAAGTTACGAGTCCCCATCTTCAAAATAGATGGTTTACAGCAAAAAATGCTTTGCAGAGTTTCAAAGGCAGTTCTTTATATAGTCATCAAACAAGCAGAGTTCTCCAATAGTATCAATAATTCAATAGAGCTTATTCCTTGCGTAAATGCAAAAGAGTTTCTGACGAGATAGGGGAGAAAATTATATAGGGTTTTACATATAACTGACTAATTAACAAAAAACTGTAACCTCAAAATTTAATTCATAACATTTGAATGATCTTGTTATAGCTACTAAAGCCGAAAACATACGAATTTCAGATACTAAAACATTTGGAGAAAAATTGATTATATCAAGGCACAGGAGTTTTATAAAACGCATGCAAGAAGCAGTGGAAAACAACGCTTTATCAATGAGTATTCGGTAACAACAATACATTTTGTTTTTTGGAGCTTCTAGTGTAAGATGAATCAGCGTAAAATTCATAAATTTGTATGACTAATTTCGAAGGTTTATATGTCGCGCATTCTTGGACAGCTGCAGGAGTTCAAAGTTTGAGTTCAGGCAGTCGTCTTCATTAATAATTCTTGCACTTTTACAACTGAACAAAGGGACTCTGTATTTAAACATTTGAAATTAGACCTGAAAATGTATGAATATTACTCTAATTCTTGCTGTCATATCATCTAGTGTTGCTCAGTAACGCAGGAAAGTCTCTCTCACGGAAATGTTTCCTGAAATTAATTCAGTCTACACAGGAGAATTTTATTCTTAAGTTCCTCTCAGTTATTAACTAGTCAGAGAAGTCAAATCAGATTACGTTACTTGTAGCCAACAGTCCGCCATTAATGTCACAACAAACCTAATAATTTGCAAACTTTACAAAACATAAGAATATAATGAAAAAAAAAATTCTAGTAGATTTAGCTAATGCTAAAAATGAGGTAAAAATATAAAAATATTTGTCGCTCTAGAGCTTACAAGCAGAACTCATTTTTATGAAGGTGAAAAAATATTCTATTATTTATAAAGAAACGTATCGGGTATTATGATCGGAAATAAATGTCGTACCATATAATGTAAAGGCTCTCATTTTCGCGGGCCGTAATTTTCGCGAAAATGAATATATCGGTGATTTTGCGAGTTGAAAATTTCGCGAATTTTATACGAACAGAACCGAAAGTTGAAAAATTTCAAAAGTAAAGTTGAGAAAGTTGAAAAATTCCAAAAGTACATCTTTTGCATAAAGCATTTTAAGAAACTTTTTTTTTTGTCCGGAAGGTTCGTCGCTCCCCTCCTTCCCGTCTAAATGGCGAGTTCAAGCGTTTGCTCAAGAATGAGTTTATTGAGTGGTATCCTCATGAGCTACAATTTCTAGAGGAAAAAGAACCTGTGGACATGCGAATATCACGACTAAAACCGATTCACGCTTCTTGGCTCGTGCGCGTGTTTAACGGTATTGAAGCCAAACATGAGATAATTTTGAATGACTTCTTAGAAAAAAAAAGCTGGTACAAATAGTATTCTAAGTGAAACAGCTGCCTTCTATTAATTTTATTGTTTTATATTCGAGAAATATAGTTGTATATTATTCAAAAAATAGTTATAAGGAAGAAAGCTGTCAAGAACAAGCTTGTAACTGTGCAATAAATCATTAAATTTTGGGTAAATGAAAAATTTCTGATTTTTTATTATTATTTGAGGCGGAAAAAAAAGTATTTCGAGAGGCTTTAATTTTCGTGATTACGACGGGCTCATGAAAATCGCGAAAATTAAAGCCTTGAGAAAATAAGTGCCTTTACACTATTAAGATTGTTAAAATAGAAATTGTTATTAAAATCTACTCAGGAACACCTCGTCGTGATCAATGATCGCTACTTCTGCCGCAGGCGAGAGTACAAGGCATCTGGCGCGCTAGCAATTTTTTCCAATACAGACTAGTGAGAGGTGAATGGAGAGGTCCAAAAATACTTCTTTGAGTATATGTCTCCATGTGTATACAAGGCTTTAGGTCCATTGGTTCCTTTTCTTAATTCGAGAAAATTATGATTGATATGTCACACTTTGTGGTTAGTTTATCAAATAAAAGATGAACCATAAAATGTTCATATGTCAACAATATTCAATATCACATCCTCACATCTTTGGCCCAATAAGAAACGTCGCCATCTGAATGATAAGCTCTTTAGTCATTAGAATAGATAAGGTGACTCAGCATTTTTACAGAGATCACCACGTTATTGCAACTTTTTGTTTCCCTTTGGGTATATCAAAAACAATGCACACATTGTACACTGCCAACAGAAATTTCATGTATTATTGTTAAAAGTATGCACTGTGGCCTATATCATCAACTTGATATATCCTAGTATGTATTACCTTCTAAGACATCCATAGTGTCTAAGTCTTTTAATAAACCTTCTTGTAATTGTCTAAAATGCGGCGCGTACTTTGTGAAAACAAATGAAAATTTTACTCATTATAGATACATTGAAATCTAATTTCAGATAATACATGGACACCTATGATTTATCTTCAAAAACACGCTTGTTAAAATTTATGTTCTGAAGTGGATTTTCTTGTGGAATTATGGTAGGTGAAGAGATATGCTAGACAATCTTATTCCATCCCCAGGGTAATATCATTCAGGACTGGTATAAAGATTGACAAAATGGCTTCGCTGTTTTACTTTAATTAAGTAATCAAGTACATTTGGGCACATACTGACGCATAATGTTCGGAATACTTTGCGAGCCGAAATGCGTAGGGATACTCCTGGATCTTATAAAAATTGCATATTTTTGTTTTTACTTTGATATATTTACAAATTTTGCCGCGCTTATCTAGATATCAAATTAGCTTTATATCGGCTCAATAAAATAAAGATGCTCTATGGCGCTAAAAGTAAAAAATTACATAATATAAAAATACACATCATGAAGCTGGAGAAAAGGGGGCAAAACATGACTGGCACCAGTCATATTTTTCTTGAAGTTCCAGACACGTACCAAGCCCGAGAGGCTATCTATCTTGCCCTTATAAAGTTAGTCCATTCATTGTTCTGAAAATCCTGAAAAGAGAGTTACAGATTTACTAGCATATCAATAAATTCCTCTTTTCAGCAAGAGTTCAGCAAACTTCAGTAATCTACTGAAAAATTCAGCGACTTTATCTAATTGTGTTCCAGAAAATAAATCTTTCACAGTAAAATCCATCATTTTATCAGGATTAGCTGATGCATGCGCAGTAGCTTTAATATCTGAGGATGCATTCCTGGGTTTGGAATCCTTCTTAGCAGGATTTTTAGTCAATATTGATAAGAAGTACCATATGTTGATTTAACTTCAAAATTTCTTGGGCAAATTTTGAGGGAAAAATCACAAACTTTATAAGAAGAAACATGACTCTGGTTTGCATCTAAAACAGGTTTATCCTCATTGCTTAAGCCACAGGTGTAGGTATGATGTTCTTTGCCACACTTCATACACCTCGGACAGTTATTACAAAGTAATTGACAGTGTACAAAACAGTTTATTAGCGTGACAGTGCAAGCAAATCATAGTATTTTTATTAGTGTGAAATCTCCTCATAGTAACCTTTATGTTGAGAATGGTTTGCTTTTCCTAAATGCTTCTTCCGTCATCATTTTATGTCAAAGACGAAGAAGATAGGAAGCTTCACTTCAGTTCTGTGGGACTTGTTGATACATTGAGTAAATTTATCCTTCGCTAAAAGAGTTCATTTTTTATTTCGTCATGATGGCAATCGTCCGTGAGTTCACGAATAGCTAACTATCTTTAGCGGTGCATCACGCTTAGCTCGAAATGTGCAAAACTGAACACAGTTTTCATAAAAATCTCAAGCACGAGATCGCGCTGCAAAGTAGAAATCAAAACAAATAGTGATATTGTCCCTTGATTGAATACCAGTATAACCGGTAACTCCATGTTGAGAACAAAGTTCTGACATCTTTCCAGGATACTCAGGTCTTTTCGCGGGATCCGATTTAGTAAAAGCTTTTGCTTTAGGTTATTTTATCATTACCTATTTTGTCAGCTAGTATGTCATGAGTTATTTTGTCTGGGTTACCTTGTTGGGATTCTTTTGTAGGGGCTTATTTTGTCGAAGTACCTTTACATTAAATTCTTAGATGAACTAGACAGATTTCACAAAAGAGATAGAACATAATATACTTTTCCAGACTTATATGCTTCCATTTAACCAAATTTCAGATGTTCATTGATCCGATGTTCAGTACCATCATTGCTTTACCTTACAGTAAAGTAAGTGCATCATTACAGTTTACTAAAACGTCAGAGGAATTTATTTTCTGCTTACGGAACTTCTTATTTACTTATTTCGTAATTTCATTTCCCCAAAATATTCAGCGCTTCAAACTTCTACCGAAAAATCTTTCATTAATACATATCCTAAAAGCTAGAGTCATCTTTTTATTTATTTGAAATTTGTAAAGGAAACTAAAACGAACCTATGCCGTTATGTTTTTTAAAACCCAGAACTGTGGGAAGGAAATAATATTTTGAGTTGCATTTTTTTCCAACTTTAAATATGAATTTGAGTTAACAGTTAGATATTTCTTTGAGAAGAAAGAAAAATTATGCTTTATGAATACGAATGCATCTGTAAAAAGAAAACCGGAA